TTGAACAACTGATTTTTTGATAAGTAGTACTTACATAAAAAGAACTTACTGAACGTTAGATACTAAATGTTCAGGGTTGGCTCTTAATACAACAAAAATAAGGATGGGTAAAAATTTATCTGCACCCTCCTCTCCATCCACATGTCTTATTAAACCTATCAACAAAAGTTAGATATACGTAAAGTAACGAAAATATTTTTCAAATACAAGAAAGTTAAACCCTACCAAAGATAACTTTACAACAATTAAGGATGCAAATGAGTTTATCACGTGGTGCTTTGAAATGATTTATTTTCAATAATTCTGTTAAAAAAAATATATATATTAGATAAAGTATTGAGGCACAATTTCATGAGAAAATCAATTTTTAGATTTTGGCGCGAAATCAACAACATTGTAAAGCTTGTGTAATATATATATTTTTTTAAAAAAACAAAGTTATTACCATTTTTTGCGAATTCAAGAAACTGTTCATTATGTGGAGCACTTGGTATATCCAAATGTTCTTCCTTTACCCATCTAAATATTTGAATTTTTTTATGCAAGATTTCGTCTCGTTCTTTATCGTCAGTTGTTACTGAACCTCGAATTGCCGGTGAAAAAGTTCTAAAAAAAAATGGTTATCTTGCATTAATATAATTCAAATAAAAAAAAAGTACTTCCACTTACAATTTATACAATCTATTCATCACCAATTTTTCCATCCCTTCTTTTGCATTTTCAAATTCTGCTTCAGTTGCATTACGCCATAACTCGCAATCACGCATTTTCACGGATATGAACTAAAATAATGATGAAAATTCTCGCGTTTAGATAATATTCAGTTAAATATATATATGAATTTGTCAACATCCAACTACTATACGTACATCTAAGAAATCATGTATGATTCTTATTTGATCATTGACCGTCCAAGGTTTTCGTTCAAATTCCCTTTCAAAACTATATTAAATAATAAGATTAAAAGCCCCTTTAAGAAAAATATCATTGCGAAAGAATCAAAGATTTAATTACTTTTTAACATAACGTGCAATAGTTTGTGCGCTTGGATTTGTCATCTGTTGAAGAAATTTTCCGAAATCGAACTGTACATCCTGTTGAGGGGATGGTTTTCTTGCCAAGTTATGTTTTCTCACAACATTCTCCACTGTGCTTGCAGTGGAAACCTGTTTTTCATTCATACTATCATTTGTGGAATTGTTACCTGAATCAAATTATAACAAATATTTTTATTATTTTTGATTTGAACAAAAAAAGGTCCAAAAGTTAACCACATGAAAAATCTTTTTACCTCCTTGCGACGATATTAGTTCAGTTTCAATAGAACGAGTGAAGTCAAAGTTTGTATTTTCTCTTTGAAATATGGAACCATTTGATTTGTTTTCTTGTTTTATTCTATTTTCGTGCTTCTCGTTAATTTCTTTTAGCTCTACCTCTGTCACTTTCTTTTCATTATTTAACTCAACTGCTAAAGAATTAAACGTCAAAAAGAGTAAATAACGAAGTTATGCTTTATAGATAGTAGCGAAATAAACTTCAGTAACATACATTTTTTATCTGATAATGGATCAAATTCAACTACCTCTTTGTAATCGAAAGGTGAAGAGGCCGCTGTTTGTGGTTCTAGCGTCGTACTATCTACATCTTGTTCAGCGTCTTTTAGTTTTTCTACCGTAGAAGTAATCATGTTGGTTTTTGTTGATTCCATTTTTTTATAAAAAAAAAATTATAGTTTAGTGAGAAGTTGTTTTAATGTCGATCTATTCTCAAAAAAAAAGGAAACTTCATTTTGAGGTGCCACAATAGAATCTATCACCCGTATTATAATGCATTGTCATATGTACATAAGAATTCAGTCATTTTTAATTTATCAAAAAAGATTTGATCGACTGTTTAAATGCTTTATTTTTATTTTATTTTTGGATTAGCGCGTGTTTGTTGAACAATAATTTTCAACAATCCCTTTCACACTTTTTTTCGTTCGTTAAAGTATATAGAAAAGAAATTACGTAATCAATTGATCCTTTGTAATCAATTCATAAAATCATTTATAGTTGAGTGGCTTTTTGATATAGTTTTCTCCTATTTTTTTTATAGTAGAAAACTCATCACCAATCAAAATCACTTTAATTTAAAGATGCAGAATGAAACAACCAATTAGAATGGATTTTCATGGGTGTTCCGATCAAAAAACATTCCAATCATCCTTATTTTAATAATGGTGGCTTGCTTAAAAATAATGAGGCTTAGAAATAGTCAAAGACCAACCAAAATAAAAGGATAATAGATCAACATCTATGATGATCACGTGTAATTCGAATTAGCAGATTTTGATGGATATTTCATTTCATTTTTTTTTTTTTTTCACAAATCAGTCATTTGTTCGTAATAATGATACCGCGCAATTTGTTTTTTCTACTTAATGAAACACCTTCAAATGCGCGGTATCGTGGATTAAAGTTATTACCGTGTCAAGGATTTGGTTTTTTTTTTGCAAGAAATCGATCGTTCATAACCACAAGAAATTTGTGCATAGGAACTATCTGTAATAGGTTTTCTGAATCAATACACGATAAGCCAGTCTTGCAAAACTTACAAAACATGATCCTTTCACGGTTCAATAATCCAAAATATAGTTTTCAACCGTTACGTTGGAACACAGGTTTTAATGGTTCAAAACCGTATTCTAGCAGGTTAGGTTTACCGATTTTCTCTGTAAGGAATTCCCGATTTTTAAGTTCCTTTTCATAATTTTAATTTCTTTTTTACCGAAAAATAAAGTGAACTTTCACAAGATACGTATCATCGCATTTCAGAAATTACTATGGAACATTTGTCGGAATATTTTGAAAATCTTGGTGAACAAGTGAACATAGACGGTTACGATGTTGAATATTCGGTGAGTCAGTGCAAATTGGTTTGTAATAAATTTTATCAGATTCTTCTTTGTGCAATTTTTATTTTCGTTGCTGAATCCTGAATGTCCGTTAGAGTGGAGTTCTTACACTTAGGTGTGGTCCTTCTGGCACCTACGTAATCAATAAACAACCACCTAACAAACAAATTTGGTTGTCCTCGCCTATCAGGTATGTGATATCAAAATGATTTCTAGAATTTTGTAACAAATCATTTTTTTCTCAAAAAACAATCTTTTGGAAATAAAAGTGGACCCAAGCGTTATGATTATGATTCAACCCATAAAAAGTGGTTTTATCAGAGGGATAACTCAACGTTGGATGGACTTCTTAATGAGGAATTGTCTATAATATTCAGAACTAAAGTTGATGTAACTTTACCAGTATCCA